CACACACACACACACCCCAGCACTCACACTCTAACTTTTTTGTTTATAGCTGTTATTGTAGTAAAAAAAAGTGTGCTTTATTTCATAACCTCATTGTGGCATCAAGTCTCTTGAGGATTTCATGGTGAAAACAGCTCCACAATAACAACATGAAATGTTGCAGCTCTGTTTGGGTCGGCGTTGACACACCTCAGTTGTTCTGAAACCACTCATTCTGTGCGCTCAATGCAGCCRTTTGTCTTCCTAACAATGGCCCAACATCTGTAATGTTTGTGGATTTTCTAATCCATTGTGTGAAGATCATAATAACACACAGAGGGGGGAAAAAGGTTTTACCATGTTGAACTTCAGTGAATAGAACTTTTTTTTACTAATGAAAATACAGAATTTACCCTAAAAGTTATAGCCAAAATGTGTGAAAAATAGAGTAAGTTTAATTAGTTGATTTTAAAATGGTAATTCTGTTTCAAACACAGATTAAATGCTTGTTTTTTCTTTTTTCTTTTAGTTAAATTCAGTACAGTAGGTGTGTGTTGTTGTCGGTGCCAATTTTATTATAGAACGTTTAAACACAAAGGTGACCAAAGTGCTTCACAAGTAATTTAAAAATGAATAGGAAAAAACATGAATAAAGTACATATACTAAAATGAAATATTAGAAAAATACAACAAAAAATGAAAAATCACAACATCAAAGTCAAAACATTGAWTTTAAAGCAAGGTGCGTTTTTAGACTGGTTCATGCTATGTTCAGTTTTCTGCTCATTATAACATGATTCCCTGCTAAAAGCTCTCCTGGAGGTTTTACTGAGTGATGTTCAGCAGTTTGACTGGTACTTCCTGTATGMATGACCCAGATCAGTCAAGCTGTCACAGCCAATAGGAATCGTTTTCTACCTTTTTCCCCTGGTATCATTTCCTTCTCCCTGTAAGGTGTTTCCTTCAGACTCTAATAATTAATAATTGAACATTTCACACTCAAATAGAGAGAGGAACCTTGATGGAACAATCTAATGGGTAGGGAACCAAAAATGGAGAAAAGGGGGGCACACTTGAAAGAAAAGTAGAAATTTTGTTCCGTGTCAGTAGGGTGTGCTGTCCACAGCTTCATTAGCGCTGCTTGAAAAAAAAAGAGATAAGAGGAACAGTTTGATAAAAAAAAAAAAAACAGTTTCAGTCAGCGCAGTGATGTTAGGTGTGAATTTATGCGTCTGTGTGGGAGTAGGTGTGTAACAAGAGCACCCATTTTCCTCTTTCCTGTAAGCAAAAATCTCCTTCACCTTGGTGATGTGCGACTCCTCATTGATTTTTTCTTTTTCCCCTACCTTCTCTGGTTTCAATTAAGAAGTCCCACTTTAGACCAGGTGAAAAAGCTCGGTCACAATCACTCAAGCTGCCGCCTTTGTACCACAAGAACCCCTTCAAGTGCGAGGCCTGATTTCAGCCCCGCGTGCAGACGTTTGACTTATGTGGCGAGGAGGCATTTCAAAGCACCGAGTGGTAAACAGAAACAAATAGAGAAACAAGTCGTTCGAATTTCCAGTAAAGCTACTTCTGCATATTTATGGTAAAGTTGATAAAATATTTTGCTACTTCAGGAGAAATGTAAAACTAAAACCCGAGCTGACGCAGACTGGAAGTTTGTTYATCAGTTTCAAAAGAGCACGGTGCGTAATACGTCTTAAAATATTAATTCAAGATTCTGCAGTCAACGAGATCTGAAAATTGACACATTTCTGTTTATTCTTAGCTGAGCGACATCGATCTGTAGGGCAGAAATAAGGGTGATGGGTTGTCAGTTTTCATTATTTGTGTGAAAAATATACAGTATGTACAAGATATACGTTTTAAAAAAACATTACTGGTGCAAACAACTTGTCAAACTATCTTTAGTTCCTACTGCTGAAAACATAAAGTAAAATTTTTTTCCTGTGTAAATGTTGAGTAATATTCTCTTAAAATACCCACAATCCTGGCTGTTGTTGCGCATCTTGTTAAATGTTAGAGCCATGCCCACCACTGCTGAAACTTTGGTGTTCATGTTCAGTTCCTGGATGAAGATGGTATCATTATTACACATCATGTAAATACTTCCTTTACCAAAGTTCTCCTTCCTCTTTACTGTCAGAAGACCAGTATGTGACTGACAATGGCCATCAAAGAGGCAACAATTGTAACTTGTCCCCCTGGCTTGTATGATTTAGGGTGTATTCACAACAGGATAGTCCTTTGGTCCACTTGTTTGGTTCGAACCAAATCGCGGACTTTGTTTTTTTTCCCCTCTGGTGTGGTTTGCATTCACATTGTGCTTTTTGCAAGTGGACTATAATGTATAAACCAAAGCCACACAGGTGAAGTTCATTGCTCCCATTGGACAGAAATGACGGGGGCGGGTCAGAGCGCCGACCTGGAAATAAAGATGGTGTTAATACAAGTGACTATTAAGAACATCAAGAGCAGCTCATTCAGTGGTGGTTCTGTGATGATGTAATTTTGAGACAGAGTTGTCAAATGTGTGCCGTAACCTAAAGGAGACGAGATGCTCTGTGTTCCCTGACCCAAAATGGCTCATTGTTTGTAGCGCAGTGTTAGCTTTAGCAACACTGAAAAGCTAATATTGCTTAGTTACGGTGGCTTGTGAAGTCCAAAAAGGCTCAAGTTTCCTGTAGTTGGTTCCTTTCGAGGCCGGCCTGTATTCACACCAGAAGAGAACCACACCAGAGTTTGTTTGGAAGTGGACCGAGACCACCTCAAAAATGGGTCTTGGTCCGGTTGTTTAATCCACAACAGGGTTCACGAGTGTATTCARACCTGCAGAAAAGGTCCGAACCAACAGGGGAAATGATCTGTTTAAAGCAGATCAAATGTGTCAGGTGTGATTAAACCTTTAAGTTTGAGGAATTTGGTGCTCATGAATTATTTTTTTTAAAATAAGAACAACTCACAGCTATTGATTGGACATGGGGAGCTTTGTTCCCAACATTTAAACAAACTTGTTAAGATACTGCGTTAAAATATAAATTCTTTAAATAGTACATTTCAAGTGGCATCATTTTATTTCAAAATTGAAGTTTTTTTTTATGTATGTGTGGGCAAATTTTCCACAACAGGACTTTAATCCTCCTAGTTAAGCCCTTCAGTTAACAGCAAGTGTCTCTGATGTAAAATAAACATTACAGTTCCTTGTGTGTGGGCTGGTTTACTTGTCCTATTATAAGGATTTGAAAGTCAGCCACATCATCTAAGGTTCATTCTGAGTTTACTTTGTTTCTGATGCCCGATTTTGTTTTTGCCGTTCAGCAGGAAAACGGGGGTAGGCAGAAATAAAAAAGTTTTCAGTTCCGTCATAATTCTACCGTTTGTCTCCAMTTAACTCTTTTGTTGTTTGTACTTCCTTTTGAGGTCACTGTACCTACATAAAACATGCAAAAGGGAAATGCAAACTCAGATATTCTCCATTGTTTGGTTCTTACATCCGTTTAGTTGTAATGACGGCAATGCGTTTTAGCAAAAATTACTTTTTTTTGTTTTGAATCAACAAATTGTATAAAACATTAGCTGTAAAAATGGGTTGAATATTAGTACTTAATGTTTGAAAAGGAGGTTTGTGGGCATTTCAAGTGTTTTAGAGAGTAGTATAAACTCATACACAACTTATCACTCAGATAGTGTTAAACACAAACAGATATATTTGGGAAGTTGGTGRTTTTTTAAAACAAGAATATATATGCCTTGTTTCATTTTGAGGCAAGTTTCAGAATCTAAACACACAACAAGATGAAGTAGTTCTCACAAGRTGGGCTTCCAGAAGCTTGCCAATCAGAAGAGTGGACTATTTTATTGAGCATAACTTTAAAGAGCYCAGACCTAAGAGTTCCTGCTTTTTCAATTGCATTGGCGAGAGAGGGACTATCAGACYGTGTGAGATAAAAATATTTGAAATTGTGAAACGCCTTCCACAAATTTGAGCTAGAAATAATAAAAGCTTGGCCACTTATTTTGATTCTCTTGTTTTGAAGCTCCTTGACGTTCACCTCTAGCACTTTAACCGTTTTACAACACATAATATTGTTTTTCTGTCACAATATTCCATGTTGATTTGTGTTTTCTGTGTCTTTTTCTCAGTCCTGATGACATTGGAAGCTGCTGGTACATCCTGTTATCTGGTTCAGTTTTCATCAAAGAGTCCATGTTTCTGCCCAGAAGCAGGTAAGCTCACCGGATATCGYATGAATTAAAAACAAATATTTATTGAACTGAAGTGATTATCAGGTCATCGGCACAATCCTGCTCTCGTGTTGCAGAAACAATGCTATATCAGCCTTTAGGTTAAGAGGTGGTAAGGGGGGTGGGGTTACAGAAGAATGTTTGGCTCTGAGAAAACTTCAGAATCAACTCACAGCAGCGACCAGRTCCTCCGAAGCCAAAACCCAAATGTTAAAGAGCTGTGATTTCACAAGTGGATYTGTTACGTGAACCATCTCCGTGGGCGACTTGAAAACAATGATCTTTTTATCCATCAGGCTTGCATAACACACCTACAGCCACTCAGAGCTGGAGGCTGTCACTTTAGCCAGTGGAGCTGAACTCTTCTGGCTGTACAGAGGGGCTTGTCAGAGCTGAGTTCATGTGAATGTGGGGGGTGGTAATAAATGCAGGCCTTGCTCAGAAATACACCCAAAATGCCCTGTTCCCTCTGAAATACAACCTTCTAGTCTTTACCAAGGGGAAAACGTTTGGTATGCATATAGGTACTTACATAAAAATGAACTGCAGTATAATAATTCAGTATTACTTTGAAATAAACAAAAACTTAATCACATTAACTTCATCATTGGGATAACTTCAGATTTGGTGCTGCTTTCTATGTCAAAGAAACATCTGATGCACTTCTCTGACAGAGAAATGTATTTCAAGTGAAATAAGTATGAGATGTTTTTGTAATGACGRGCTCACAATGACACTTTCTGATTCACAGTTTCAAGGATGCTCGGTCAGAAAACTTCACTCAACTCTGAATGACGGAGCACACTTTCTGTTCAGAAATTAAGAATAAATCTTTTTTTTTATTTAAAGCAGAACAGCGTGACAATATTCCAGAGGTCTATAAAGTACTTGAAAAATAATAATGAAGTAGAAAAATACCTTAACAAAAAATGACTTTGGTAAAAAAAAAATTCACTGATGAGAAAAGTACTTACCGTATTTATTCATGCATAATGCAATCATCTTTTTTTTAGATTAAGAAGCATAAAAAAGTCTAATGATCAATAACCCATGTATAATACTAACACCCCCCCCAACACACACACACACACACGCACACGCACACACGCACGCACACACACACTTTAGGGTTAAATTTCTAGTATTATAAATGAATAAATACATTGAGTAAAAGTCATAAAACTGTTCACAAAAATCGAGAAAGTAAAAGTACATTTACACACTCGCTAAGAAATAAACTGTTGAATTTACTGAACCAAACTGGTTCCAGTAAACCAAGTAGAGTAAATTGAAGCCATATTTTGGTTTAGTGGAACCAGTTGACAGAACTTGATTGTGTAAATTTAACACTTGATTTTTTTTAGAGCGCGTAAACAACTCCTTTCATGATGAGTAACTTGGTGTTAAATTTTAAATTAACGATCATTTTTGGGTTTTAAATGTAACAAAATAAAAGTAATAGTAACAATAAAAAATATTTTGTAAAGTTACACATTACACAAATCACATTCCTACAATTTTTAAAATAACATTTAGAGAAATTCTGTTTTTCAGTGTTTRAAAAGACTGTTGTCTAATTTTCTTCTCGTAATATTTGTGGCTTTTAGTTATGTTTCTTCTTAATCAGCATCATGAGGTATGAAAACACTGCTTCACCAAGTCTATAAAGAGAACTGGTGAGGGCTAAGTGACTCAGAGGGGAAATTGGTTGTGACACAAGGAATAGAACTGAGTCCAGAGGGACTTCCTGAAGCTTTTAAAGATGGGCTGGAATTGGGTTTCAGACAGGCCGTGCCCAGAAATGGCTGTTCAGATGTAGACTGGCAGCAAGGTTGAAAACCTGATACGTCTCCATAATTCTGTCAGAGCCTCCATTTCTCTGCCTCTGCTCAGCTGCTTTGGTAGCTGTAGTGAGATCTGATCCAGATGAAGGTGAATGACTCAGTCATTAGATGGGTCTTTGTGTGCTCAGATACATTGCTCCCAGATACTGTATTATAATAGCCATGTTTGTTTCAACCTGAGCCACTTACAAATCTACATCTTTCATTGAAAACTATTTCCTTTACTCTTTATTAAGTAGTACTTTAAGAAGAGTTTGAGGTCTTTATGCATACTTTTTATAAACAAACATAATGTGACAATATAAATAACTAATTATTTATTCCTCAGTGGAGAAGCTGGTTTGTTGCCACAGCATGAAAAAAAGCTACAAAAAAGGAAGAAAAACATGAAACAAGAAGTATAAAAAATACATATGTACTTACATTAAAATCAGTATAAAACAATGCACAAAACAGGAGAAACAAAAGTCTGCAAAAGTATATTTTTTAGCCACCCCAGTGCTTCTGMTAGTGTTTTCGAAACGTGTATAAGAAGCTTAGTCAGACATCTGTTGTGTCAGTTTTTCTCCATCACATACAGCCACCATTTTTATTCCCCCACATCTGTCATTCTGGCACTTTGTCGGCTCAGATCTTTTGGGTTTTTTCCCCCAGTGACATGTGACACAAAATTGTTTTTCTTTTTTCCTTTAGATAAGTTGCCTGTGGTGTGGCGTTAAATTTAGAAAAACTAATCGTMGAACTTTTCGTCTTAATGAACAGAAACAGGTTCTAAAAACCCAATTATCACCAAGGCAGTCATAATTTTTATACGTTATTAACCGTTTTAACGACATCAAACTGTGTAGAAGTGTTTACTTCCACTCTAATGCACACTTTATTAACACTGTTCTGGTTTCACTTCCCCTCATGCTGTACTGCTGAGTGCATGTGTTTATTACCAAGGCCAACTGACCTTAGGAAGAGCACAGAAATGGCTCTGAAATGGTTTTACAGATATTTTGCTAAAATTTGATGAAGTTGTGGCTGCGAGTTATTACCGACAAATAATTTAAAGTAAACTCATTGTGCAAGCTTTTCTATTAATATATGTCCTAATCCACTGGACAGATTTATGCCCCTTTTCCACTAGTGCCACTTAGTGTAGTGTTGGTACGGTTCCAGGCCATTTCCATTAGACCAAATTTATGGAACCAGCCCTTTTTAGTAACTACTTCGTTGTGGTTCCAAGAGGTCCCAGTCGACACCAAAATGCGACATCAGAACACTGTTCGTCACTGATTGGCTAGGGGGTGGAATCACTGGTTGCGTCTGAGCTGCCTTTACAACAACAACTCGATGCGCCATTTTTTCAATTGTAGCAGTGACGTTAGTTGTGTTTCCATCCAACTTTAATTCTAAATTTTAGCAAATTTTTAAAATTTCAGAACTTATTCAACAAATGTGTTTCCATCTCTCAGTTTGCGCATTAAATTTTTTCAAAAAACCCAAAAACCACCTCCACCAACTGCCATAAACACACCCACTGGAACCAGGCTGGAACATCAATGGAAAAGCACCCAAACTGACCGGTTCCAACACTGACTGTACCGACACCACACTAAGTGGCAGTAGTGGAAAAGGGGCATTAGAAAATAACCATTTAATGCACATCTTTAACTGCTTGACCTTTGAAGTATAATATTCCCAATATATTGACAATTTATCGTCATCGTGACAATAGCCTGTGCAATAAGCATATCGCAAAAAACTGCATAAAAAGCACCAAATTTTGTCTCAAAATTTGCATTTATGATTGTTACCAATTAAATGGAGCCCTTCACGTATTTGACCAATTGGATGGATCTCTTCATATTAAAAAAAATACTGGAATGGATCAGAAAACATCAACGCTTCATACTTATGAATTTTAATTCATTATCGTAAATCATATCATCGTCGCAATATTAAGCACTGATATCACACATTGCAGGTTTTCCTAATATCGTGCAGCCCTATTTTAAAGTAAGGTCAAGATGGTCACCACAGCTAGCAAACACAAAAATAGCCATAACTCAAGTTTACAGCCACTGAGCTAAATTTTGATTGGTAGTAGCTGAGAGTCATTAGCCCTGTTTCCATCATTTCTTTTATGTGCATTTTAAAGTATCGCATTAAAAAAGGTGAATGGAAACAGCATAATTCGGAAAGAATAAATAAACTTCCTCTGTTTCGCATATTAATGGAAACACGTTAGATTTGCATTTCTTCTCCTTTTCCTTTTTGGGACATTTTAAAAGTTTGCAAATTGGATTGAAACACAGCTATTGACTCTGAAAATAACATCTCACAATATTGCATGAGATTTTACAAATTGCTCTTGTCAGGGTTTGACCAAAACATTTACAGATTTTTTTTTCTTGACATGGGATTATGTTCATTTCAAAAGTCTGGCTTGAAAAAGGAGCAACGTGTATTTTGTCAAGAAGTGCTTGGCCTTTAATTTGCAGTGCAGAATGTGGCCACAGTGTCTACACATAATCACCGTAGAAATCCACATGAAGAACACACTGTCCTCCCTCTCACATATTAGTAATTGTAGGAGGAAGTGAGTCGTACGCTGGAATGCTGGCTGCTATCTACACATCACACACTGGGAGAGGGAGGGAGGGAGAAAGAGAAAGGGGCAGAGCCATTGGACATAAGCTGATTCACACACACACTCTTTCAGAGCCACACACAACTCAGTTCTCAAATCTCAGACAGCAGTGCCGGGGCGTGTGCAGGACGATATGCCGCAGTTATACGAAAGTCTCGGGAACTGGACCGGGTTCGTCTGACTTTTTCTGGACTGGCGGAAGGAATATTTTAAAGGGATCCTGTTATCAGGTGGCCTTGTCAGTCTGGGAGCAGTTTGGAGTGTCAGGGGTGAGTGTTCAGACTGCAGCAGCTGCTGCTTCTGCCTATTAATTCTGCCTAAAGGCGCAAGTGCACGTCTCACTAAAGCTCTGCACTCCATTCTAAGTTTTTTTGTTTTAGTTTTTGAGTTAAAAGTCGGGCTTGTCTCCAGTCCGTGAGCTGGTTCCTGTAAAATCATCACGCCTGGAATGTGAAGTACTGCTTTGATGTTATTTTGGATTTGTCAGTGTGAGGAGAGTG